AGGATTTGTAGACTGTACTTCTGTAAATACAGCCTATAATAGCATTTGCCTTTTTTGTAGCCACATCACACTGTTGGCTCATATTCAGCTTGTGATCTACTACAATTCCAAGATCCTTCTTGCTTGTAGTATTGCTGAGCCAGGTATCCCCCATCTTGTAACTCTGTATTTGGTTTCTTTTTCCTAAGTGCAATACTTTGCACTTATTCCTGTTGATTTTCATTCTGTTGTTTTAACCCGAGTGCTCAAGCCTATTGAGAAAATTTTGAATTTTGTTTCTGTCTTCCAGGGTATTTGCTATCCCACCCAATTTTCTGTCATCTGCAGATTTGATTAGTACTCCCTATATTCCCTGATCCAGGTCATTAATAAAACTATTGAGTGGCACTGGGCCCAGAAGAGACACTTGTTACCTCTTCCCAGTTGGAGGATGAACCATTGACAAGCACCTTCTGAGTACGATTCTGTAGCCATCTCGGTATCCACTTGACAGTTGTCTTATTCAGCCCACACCTAGTTAGCTTGCTAATCAGAATATCATAGAACACTTTGTCAAAAGCCTTGCTGAAGTCAAGATATATTATGTCTACAGCATTCTCTCTGTCTGTTAGGGAGGTTACCTGATCAAACCATGAGATCAGATTGGTCTTGGCTTCTACTTATTGCTGCATTGTTTTCTAGGTTCTTGCACAATGACTGCTTTATAATCTGTTCCAGAATTTTGCCTGGGATTGATGTCAGGCTGTCTGGCTCTAGTTCCCAGGTTCCTTCCTTTTGCCCTTTTTGTACATAGGGGCAACATTAGCCCTCCTCCAATCATCTAGCACCTTTCCCGTTTTCCATGATTTCAAGAAAATCTTGGGTAGCGGTTCTGAGAGTTCTTCGGCCAATCCCTTCAATATTCTTGGATGCAGTTCATCTGGCCCTGGAGATTTCATGCATTCAAGGTGGCAAGGTATTCCTTGACTATTTTTTATCAGTCCCTAACTGCAGTCTTGTCCCCTTCGCCTGCTCTTCATATTTGTCTGGAGTGTCCTAGTCTAACCTTCCTACAATAGGAATTGAGCACTTCTGCCTTTTATCAGTCCCTAGCTGCAGCCTTGTCCCCTTCACCTACTCTTCACATTTGTCTGGAGTGTCCTAGTCTAACCTTTGGGAAAAGACTGAGCTGCAATAGGAATTGAGCACTTTTGCCTTTTCTTTGTTATCTGTTATCATTTTTCCATGTCCACTGAGTAGCTGGTCCACTGTTTCTTTTCTTTGTCTGCTACACACATACCTGAAAAATGGTCTCTTTTTTGTTTTTAGTGTCTCTAGCTAGCCTCAGCTCATTCTCAGCTTTTGGCCTCCTAATGCTATCCCTGCAGTTGCTTTCTACATGTCTGTACTCTTCCTTTCGGGGGCATCAACAGCTTTTCTTCCACCAAACCAGGTTCCAGGGATCCTGAGGGCTTCCTTAAACCCCAGGAAGAATTTGGTTGCTGTGGAAATGGGGGAGTGAACTCTTGAATGTCCCAAAATAATTGTGATGATCCTGGTTTGGAAAGCATCTGCTTTGGCTATCAGATCTGAAGTAGGAAGAGTTTCCATCTCTACTTCTGCCTTGTCCTCCTTGTGTTGAGGAACTGCTATTCCCAAAATACTTCATTATCAACTAAACTTCCTAGGGCTCTTCCTGGGACATGGAGGTCTGCAACATGGAGGGGACCACAAGTTCCCCAGAGCTGCTTTAAACAGACCTTCAGCTCAGCCTGGGTGGGTCACACTCCCTGTGGTGAAAGGAGCGTAAGTTAAAGGACTCAAGTTGTTTCAACAGCCATTGTTTCCAGAATGGCAAAAGAGTCCATGGTTCTATTCGGGCTGATGCGCTGGAGCCCTTGGACCTTAAAAAAAAAAAAATTAAAAACCTGACATTTGCAGACCAGAGAGAATGATAGCAAGCAGCCTTCTCTGGCAAAGAGCATCTTGGGATATAGGGAATCTGGGGCTGGCTTAAGGACAAATCAGCCCACAAGTACTTTATTGACTTTGTCCCCCTGAACATGGATGATCCTGAGACCCTTCACAATAGTTGAAACCTCATCCAAGGAAAACTTGCCTACTTCTAGTTGCTTTTGGCTCTGATATGTCTCCTCTTGAATCACAGCGGAGCATATTCTGATCAGGTGGCTGTTTGCTTGTTTACTGCTCTCTGCAAACGCTGTAGTCCCTTCTCTGCAGGAGAACACTTCATGCATATGGAGGGGAAGACTTTTAGGAGGCTTGTCTTCCCAGGAACAGCTTTGCCTTTCATTAAAGTCGAAGTGATTACCTGGAGAAGAGAGTGCTTGAAAATCCAGACTTAGAAATATGCATTTTTATTTTATTTGCAATGAAGCTGCTGTTGTTTTCACTTGCTAAATACGTCTTCCCAGTGAATACTTGTATTTGCTCAATGCTTTTAATGAATTATCCGTTGTGTCTCTTTAGATGTCATCAGCATCAGGATTTAAAATGTGGAAAAGATTCGGGGAAGCTCAGCAATGGCTAATGTTTGCTGGTGGAATGCTCATTGGTGTCTTTGATGGGCAAAAAGAGCAGGCAGCGGCCATAATAAATATGGAGATACCCAAGAATGGAACCTTAGATTTGCTGCAGTTCCCTAAATGCTAAAAATGATGATGCATACAGCAATCCAAAAGCATGCCTTGGAGGCTTTTCTCATTCAGGCAAGGGCCCAGTTTGAATAGAAAGTGTTTCTGACCTTTGCCCATCTGATGAGCCTATAACTGGGCAAAGTCACTCTAGAGTCTACTCAGATAAGAACATCTCTGCTAGAAAACAAATTGGAGCAAGGCAACATAAAGGTTGAGTTAATAAATGTTGTGAAGGACAAACCTAATGTTGTGTGCTTTGGAGATACGATTTGTTTTATCAGAAGTTTTGAAATGGGTTAAGCACAGGAATGAATTTAGAAATTACTGTGAATGGCCTAGGAGATCTTTTTCTGCTCTCAGGTATATGTCCCACTAAAACAGGGTCCTTGGATCATTAGGAAAGCCAAAGGTTCAAATCCTGTTGATGCCAGGTCAGTCAGGAGATGTACATGAGGTTTGTTCCGAGAGTATTTTGTTTCCAGAAAGCCAGGGCTTCTTTGAATTTCAATTCTATGCCCAAAGATACCGTCCATGATCACCACTATTCTTGTTATTATTTTCCTCCTGGTGCTCCTACTACTACTGTTACTATTATTGGTGCTGTACAGAATTACAAAACAAAATTGTGCAGGTTTACCATCCATAAATAAAGGCATTGGGAAGTAGGAAATTTAAAATAAAAAGGGAAAGTCTGTGTGGGATGAGCTGGTGTTTATGGTTGGAGGAGGTGCTTACCAGTCGACCCACCCTGTGCTTAACCCCATAGAAGAAAGTCTTGAGTTCAGGGGGCTTCCTCTAGGGCATGGATGTGTAGGATGGTAGCTTATGTGTGAAAGTGGTGGAAAAAAAGTCAGGTGTCAAATAGAAGCATAGCCCAGTGTTGGGGAGCTGTAGGGGGAAAGGGGTGATGGTAGGAAATAAAGAGTTATCCTTAGTGAACAGGGTACCGATAAAGGACACCCTGACACTCATCCAGCAGATATTTCCAGAAGACATCAAGGCCCGCTTCCAACATTGCCTAACGACCAGCGTTTTCCAGTGGGATAATAAATTTTATGAACAGACAGATGGAGTGGCCATGGGCAGCCCCCTCAGCCCGGTTATAGCAAACTTCTACATGGAACATTTTGAAAAACTTGCCCTGGCTTCGGCACCCCTCGCACCCACAGTCTGATTCCGATATATGGATAACACCTTTGCAATTTGGAGTCACGGTGAAGAAAAATTGGAA